TTTCTTGTTTCTTGCCCAACTCTTCCAAGAAACTTAGGAGCCAAACCATCTCCTTGCTGGCTTCCGTAACAGCGACATATTCTGCTTCAGTTGTGGAAAGAGCAACTATCTTCTGTAGTTGAGAAACCCAACTCACTGCGGTACCTCCTAGAGTATAGACATACCCTGTAGTGCTCCTTCTGATGTCAACATTTCCGGCTAAGTCAGCATCTACATAGCCCGCCAGTATCGTATCTCCACCTTTGAAACAAAGTGCCTTGTTTGTGGTACCCCGCAGATATCTGAGGATCCATTTGACTGCTTCCCAGTGTACCTTGCCCGGATTATTCATGTACCTGCTAACAGCTCCCACTGCTTGAGCAATATCTAGTCTGGTACAAACCATGGCATACATCAGACTTCCAATGGCTGAGGCATACGGCACCTTCATCATGTGTGCACGTTCTTCCTCTGTCTTTGGTGACTGTTCTTTGGAGAGTCTAAAATGAACACCTAAAGGTGTACTCACTGGTTTAGCATCTTGCATGTTGAACCTGGAGAGTACTTTGTTGATGTACTCAGCCTGTGATAACATCAAAGTCCCCGACTTTGTGTCTCTCTTAATCCTCATTCCAAGAATCTGCTTTGCAGCGCCCAGATCTTTCATTGCAAACTGCTTCGACAATTTTTGCTTCAAGTTTATAATCTCTTGCATGTCTGAGCCTGCAACGAGCATGTCATCAACGTACAACAATAAAATAATGAAGCTGTTGTCGAATTTCTTGATGTAGCAACAATGATCTGCTTGGCACCTGGTGAAGCCACTGCTGCCCATGAAGCTATCAAACTTCTTGTACCACTGCCTAGGAGCTTGTTTTAAACCATACAAGCTCTTCTTCAACCTGCATACCAGGTTTTTCTTGCCTGTCTCTATGAATCCTTCTGGCTGCCTCATATAGATCTCTTCTTCCAAGTCACCATGAAGGAAAGCTGTCTTTACATCTAACTGCTCAAGATGTAGATTCTCTGCAGCTACAATTTTCAACACTAGTCTGATTGTAGTCAACTTCACGACTGGAGAGAAAATTTCATTATAGTCAACACCTTCTTTTTGCTGAAAACCTTTGACAACCAATCTTGCTTTGTAGCGTTTGCTCCCATCGTGCTCTTCTTTGATCCTGAAAACCCACTTGTTATGGAGCGCTTTCTTGCCTGGTGGTAATTCAGCTAATTCCCATGTCTGATTTGACATAAGCGAGTCCATCTCATCTTTCATGGAAGACTCCCACTTGACTGAATCCTCCACCTGCATTGCTTCATCATAGCACTCTGGTTCACCACTGTCAGTCAGCAACAAGTAGTGCAAAGAAGGCGAATAACGCTGGGTTGGTTTAGGAATTCTTGAGGAGCGTCTCAGTTCTGGGGTGCTTGGTTCTTCTTGAACTGCTTCAGGATTAATATGAACATCATTTCCAGAAATCTCCTCAAACTCAGCAAATTCCTTTGTTTCAGCTTCGGTATTGGAGCTACTTGATTCTACAGTTGACCTGTCTTTGTACATCATATTCTCATTGAATATGACATCTCTGCTTCTGATGATCTTCCGATTTTCATAATCCCAAAATCGGTAACCAAACTCATCACCACCATAACCAACAAAGACACATTTGTTAGACTTAGCATCAAGTTTACTTCTTTCGGCAGAATTTATGTGTACATAAGAAATACAACCAAACACTCTTAAGTGTGAAAGGTTTATTTCTTTCCTGCTCCAAACTTCCTCTGGTATTCCACCATCCAAGGGAACTGAGGGCCCACGGTTGATCAGGTAGGCTGCAGTGTTGATAGCTTCAGCCCATAGCAATTTGGGCAAGCCGGCATGTAAGGAGTACGAAGACCGTGCAAGTAACAGAGTTGTGTTCATGCGCTCTGCTACGCCATTCTGTTGCGGTGTCATGGGAACTGTTGTCTCCATCTTGATCCCATTGTTTGCGCAAAATTCTTTGAATCTACTATCTCTGTACTCTCCTCCATTGTCAGACCTCAATCGCTTAACTTTCAAACTAGTCTCATTTTCCACCATGGCCTTCCATTTTCTGAAGGTATCAAAGACTTCTGATTTCTTCTTCAGAAAATAAACCCACACCTTCCTTGTAGAATCATCGATGAAGGTGACATAATATAGTGAGCCTGCAAGAGATGGAACTGGAGATGGTCCCCATACATCGGTATGAACCAACTCTAACTTTTCTGCCTTGGGTGTCTTGCTAATCTTTGCAAAACTGACTTTCTTCTGTTTGCCAAAGATACAATCCTCACATAGTCCGACATCTATACTCTTCAGATCCGACAACTTTCCTTTTGATAGAAGTGTCTTCATCCCTTTCTCGCTCATATGGCCAAGTCTTTGGTGCCACAGGTTTGATTTTCCATCAGCATCTGCTACTGCAATGGTATTCTCCAAGTTTGAGGTCACATAGAGAGTACCGGTCTTCTTACCACGAGCAATGACGAGTGCTCCTTTGGTAATCTTCCATTCACAGCCTGAAAAGGTTGTACAATATCCTTCTCCATCAAGCTGTCCTACCGAAATCAAATTTCTTTTGAGGCCAGGAATATGTCTCACTCCTTGTAGCTTCCAGGTGGTCTGGTTTGGCAACTTTAATTGGATGTCTCCTTTTCCGACGATCTTCAAGGTTTCATCATCAGCTAGATGAACCTTCCCAAAATCACCACTGACATAGTTCTTCATGATTTCTCGGCATGGGGTGGCATGGAAAGATGCCCCTGAATCCAAGATCCATGATTCAATTGGACTGTTGATGCTTAGAATCATAGCATCACCTGTTTCCTCAGTCACGTTGGCAGATTCTTGTGCGCTGGTATCTTTCTTTGGTGCTCGGCAATCCCTTTTAAAGTGACCCTTCTTGCCGCAATTATAACAGTTAAAATCTTTCTTTCCCGTTCTTGATTTGCCCCTTCTAGATTTTGATCTGCCACGATTTAAATTTCTTTCTGAAGTTCTCCCTCTAGACTCCGTGTGCAAGGCCGAGGAGCTTGATGCTTCACCCGATTCTCTCCGCCGAATTTCTTCACTCAATACCAGATCCCGAACATCGTCGAATTTCAATTTATTGTTTCCCGACGAGCTGCTGACTGCTGTAACAGTAGCATTCCAACTGTCTGGTAGAGATGATAAGAGAATCAAAGCTCGAACTTCATCATCGAATTCAATCTCCACGGAACTCAACTGGGTTGTGATTGTGTTGAGTTCATTCAGATGTTGAGCCACTGATGCCCCTTCCGCCATCCGCAAATTGAATAATCGCCTCATCAAGTGAACTTTATTTGAGGCCGATGGTTTTTCATACATACTGGAGAGAGCCGCCATAAGACCTGCCGTGGTCTTTTCCTTTGCTATGTTGAAAGCAACATTGCGGGATAACGTTAGTCGGATAACTCCGAGGGCTTGTCTGTCGAGAAGAGCCCAGTCTTCATCCTCCATGCTCTCTGGTTGCTTTCCTAAGAGAGGTTGATACAGCTTTTTCTGGTACAGATAATCTTCAATCTGCATCTTCCAAAAGCCAAAGTCCGCACCATCGAACTTCTCAATTTTCACCTTCCCTTCGTCTGCAGCCATCGCTCCCACTCGAATCTAGCTTCCTTTTGATCGTTTCCGACAATTCCTGCGAACCACCGTGTATTAGAACACCTCCGTCGACAAACTCGTATCGCCGACCAAATTTTACTATTCACGAAATTCACTATTCATGTGAATAGTACCCTCGCAGAAAACTGAAAAAATTTACCACCAAAAGCTCTGATACCAGTTGTTAGGAAATCAAACAACTAATCAGGGATATTGGTCTAATTACTCTTACGCTTTATTAAACGGAATAATAACACACGAAATTGATAACGGAGTTCGGCCAATTATGCCTACGTCTCCAGGGCTGCTGCAGATCTTTTACTAAAGGGAGAAAATTTACACGTGTTTTCAAAAAACACTCACAACTCACAACCCAATTACACCCTGAAAATTGCTCTCAATTTTCTCTCACTAAAGCTTTTCTCTCTAAGCTTTTCTTTTTGTTTCTCGCTTAGATGTTTTCTAAGCACCAAGTGAGTGCTCTATTTATAGATGCAGAAACCCCATTTTCTACACATTTCTGCCAACTAATTCTTTAATTGGCTTTCCTTCTTTTCAACAAAAAGAATGCACCGTCACTTAATTTCCTTGGGTTGTTGGCTTGGCAACCAATTTTCTCTTATTGCCATTTATGGCACCTGCAAGTTTGACCAACAGGTATATAGTACTGGACGATCATATACAGTAATAAAAACAAGATTGTAGGACATTTTACTAATTATTATTAAAACTGAGGAAACGTTAAAGATATCATGATCAACCAATACAGTATTTTACAAGGTGCATGACAATGGCGCGCAATGTTTAGAGTCAAAGTTTTCTCTTCAATTCCCAATGTGTTGAATTGGTTAGGTTTTCCTTATTCTCTCATCCCATGTTTGTATTTTCAAAAAATACTATTGGTTATTGTTTTATTTACCTTATCGAACATGTCATCAACAATACAGCTTCGTGTGTGTCCCAAACCGCTTTGTCATCATCCCACATATTTAGAGTCAATGACTCACCCTTTGACTTCTCTCTTGGTACACACACTAGAACAGAGAACATATGTTTAATATGCAATATTAACATAATACAATTAATAAAATTTTATTTTTCTTAGTTAATACTGCCCTTTAGTATATGTCGCCTCACGAAACACGTCAACATCATGTCTTATGTGTGTCACATGTCCAAGCTCTTTGACATCATCCCATCTCCCTAATAAGTGACTCATCTTTTAACTTTTCTTCTTGCTCTCTCTCTCTCTCTCTCTCTCTCTCTCCCTCTCTCTCATCTTAATCTTGCTTGGACTGACTTTATCGTCAGAAGTCATGGAGAAACAGATTTTACTTGAAGGCATAGCATTTGTAGCAGAAGCATGAGAGAAATGAATGTCAAGAAGGTAACAGATTCATTGGATTTTTGCAGTACTGAGTGCATAGGAGGAGGAGATTTACTTGGTGAATTTTCATGGCCACCAAGATTTTATACTTGCAACTTTTGCAAGAGAGAGTTCAAATCTGCTCAAGCTCTTGGTGATCATATGAAAGTTCATAGGAGAGAAAGAGCCAGAATGAGAGAGTCTCCACCAAGCGATAACGGTCAGTATTCACTTCTAAACCTTAATCTTGAACCAAACCCTAATCAAAATATGAACCCTAACCCTAGCATTTCATCCTCATCTACATTGGCAAAATTTCCACCTTTTAATTCCACATTACCTCAAATATTTCCTCCCTCTCTTTCCTCTATGCCTTCTTGTTTTTCTGCCACTTTCACTGAAAAGAGACGGCGTAAAGGTGCTGTTCCAATAAATCATTCGAGGCCGTTAACAAAAAAATTGGTGAAGGTGAAAACCTCAAAATCACTTTCCAGGGTCAAAAATCTAGAGCAAGAAAAAAACTGTGAAATTTTCAAGAAATCAGAAATTTGCCCAATTCGTGAACCAAAGGAAGACTTGGATTTGGAACTTCGGCTTGGTTACCTTTAGATTTTACTTTAGTATATTCTTGAGGTTGATTGGCCTACTAGGTCTAGGGTTAGCTATTTATTATTACTTTGCTATAGCCAATTTGAAGAATAGCTAGAAAACAGGAAATTTTACACTGTTAAGATTTGTGAGAATATTCCATATGGGTAGCTTGAAAATGAGCAGCTTTCAAGATGTTGCCATGAGAACTGCAGCAGCAAATTAATGGTATTTTCCCCTTCCTCAAAACACCTCTAATTTACTTCCAAAATGGTCTATCCATATTATTGATATGTGACTTTCGCTAATTGTTATCGCAAAGCATTGTGTGATGACATGTATTGAGTTTTGGGGTTGTATTCTAAAAGGTGCATTTAAGTAATGTGAGATTTATCCCTCGTATAAGATATTTATGGTTTGTTTGAGAATATTAATCCTTCCACTACTCTTTGAGCTTTAAATAATCAAATTGTTTATTGAGCTATGATCAATATTCGGTTTCCATCTTAGAATATCAATATTATTATTGTAGCACAAAACCTTGCATATGTTGATTATTGTTTCATATCAAAGCAATGTGAATTTTACCCTAACCTAATGATTTGTTTATTATGCCCCTGTTTGGCCCCATTATCCAAAAAAATTGTTATTCTCTTTCTTATTTCAACCACACAATCTTTCATAAAATAATATTAATCGTAAATAAAAATATTTTTCTTCTTTTTCAACCACACATTCTCTAAAATATACTATTTCAAAAATTATAATTTGAAATAATGTTAGTCACACAGGGGCTATAAGGTTTTGAAATCATCTAAAGATATTACTTGTTTTTTTCCCCTAGAGGTGTCAATCCGGGTGGTCCGGGCCGGGTCGGCCCGCCAACATGTGAGCCCGGTAACGGCCCGCGTGAAAAAAAGCCCGCCCGCTGCGGGTTCCGGGCCGGTTACGGGTCGGCCCACAATTTTGGACTAC